ATAAATTTCTCCGTCAACTTTTTGAATAGTCGATGTATATGGCATCCAAGAAGCTTTTAGATTTGCAATTTTTCTTCCAAAACCAAAAATCGAATCACCACAATATTGATATTTTTTCATGTTTCTAAAATCCGCGGACACACTCGCTTCCGCGTGTTGTCAAAGCAGAAAACACACGATTTGCCTTTCCCTTGTACTTTCTGCAAAGCGTTAATTACCAAATAAAAAAATGTAAACTTTTTAAAAGCTCTGCGCCATAATTTTTACACACCCACAGCAGAAAGAGCAAAAACTAATGAAAGGCGCCGCCTTTACAACGTCTAGCTTTGAATGCAATTACAAAATTAACGACTGGCGTATTATCACATATCTCTATTGTTTAGTAAAACAAGTATTTTACAATGCGAAAGCAAAATAATAACAAATTTGTGCCGTATTCAGCCCCCAGACATGTGTTCTAAAGCGCCAATCAACACATTACCCAACACTCAAATAATTGCGAAAACTGCAGCGTCATTTATTGATTCATTGCCATTATAATTGGAAATATTACATTCGTTATCTACAACAAAATAATGCAGCGCTAAGCACTTATAGGTTAGTTTTTTAGTTGCTGATTAGCTTTTTACACTAATAACAGAGTTATGATGATGCAAATTCCTTCTTCGTTTAAGGGATTTACCTATTAAGACAGCTTGAAAAAAAAATGCGTAAACTACTGTGTAAATTCTTCAAAGATACGCGTATTATAAAAATCCACCGTAAAATTTTTTTCTAAAAATAGTTTTCGTGTTGCACGCGATCTCCGACGGCGTCCTCCACTGTTGCAGTAATTCCGGCCTTCTATGTCGATGAAACGTAAAATAAATTTTATACTAGAAAATTTGTTCGTACAATATGGTACGGTCTAAGAAATTTGTCAGAATGGCACAGTTTAATTAGACCCAGAATTTTGGTTGATTCAATAAAAAAAAACTGTTAAATCATTGTATGGTGAACGTACAGACTAAAAACCTGATCGGATCATTTGTCTCAGAGTAATCATCTAAGTGAATTTAAATATATTTTCGGTGAACCCAGACCAAACTGCTTGAGGCAACTATGACACATTGATACATCATTTAAAAACAATTAGCTGGCACTCAAACCAAACAAAACCAAAAATATTTAATTTGGTATCAATATGACAGACGTTCAATCGGTAAGCTGTAAAAGAAAAAACATCAAGCAGGTTTCGAAGAAAAATCTGCAAGAATTATTTTCTCAACAGCTGAAGCTGCCACTTACACACAATAACATTGCTACAACACTTTTAATGCGTTGCTTTTGCTCTTGGTTTTTCACATCATACAGAATTCTCTCATTGGACACTGCTGTCGCATCTCGTCATTGTGTTCGGAAAGATTTATGCCTTGACGGCTACGCAAACATATGCAACTGTCTGTCTATCTACACAAACTCATTGAACTCAAGGCTACACAAGCTGCTCAGTTTGCTGGCATGATGTCAGCCATAAAGTGACATTGCAGCATGGACCACACGTCATCCCTATGCCTATGCCGACCAAAATAACAGCATTTGAAAGTGCAACCGACGTGGTAGTGGTGTCACTGCGATAAGACCTCTTCACCGCAACCTAATGAATTCGATACCTACAATCAAAATGGCATGCAAAACAGCAGTGCTTTTCTCTAGCTGATCGATCGGATTGAAGTTTATTTGCCCGAGTTTTAGTTTTTCGAATTAAAAATATATGGTAGAACATATGTATGCACATAGGTATAGCATGAATATACACATCTACTTAAAAAGTTCGCATATGAATTGATTGAAGGAAAAATCTCAAAACTTGCAAATAAATTTCTAAATGAGCCCTTCTATTCTTCGAGCTCTGTTCAATAGTGATCACTGTTCAGTGATAGATCAAACGACCGCGATATGAGTCCCAAAAAGCTTTTTGTATTAGATTTTGTTGTTTTGTGGAACAAATCGCTAATATCTTAGTAAAATTTCATATCTCAAGCCACTTTCAGTATAGGTACATATGTATACATAGTATTTTAAAGACATGCATACATGTAATATATAAGCTGCTTAAAGGTCTGTGTATATTTTCAGCTAATGCAATCTTGCTAATTGACTACATTATCTGCTTCATATGTGAAAATATTAACAAGTATGGGCTAATACAGCCAACTACATATTTATACATGCCACTTATTAAAATATTATATGGCTTTTGAGCTTTTGAATAATAGCACAATTAATTTGTTAAAGTTGTGTGAATTGTTAATGACTTCTAGGAGCTTTGCTTTGTTGGCAGATTAGTGAGTTTATGCTACTTATAGCTAACTTGATATAAATAGATAATGCAACAGCAATTTGCTATCGCTTAAAAATTTAAATATTATATTTCTCAATTGTATTACATACATACATATGTATATACTTTATAAACGAGATATGAAAAGAAGAAAAAACTTTAACTTTGTCTGCACTGAAGCCTTAATACCCTATACAAGTGCATTTCTTATAGCATAAAAGGTTATAAAAAAATCTTCATTTTTATTTTGTATGGCAGCTATATGCTATAGTTATCCGATCTGAACTTATCGGAGATTGTAGTGTTGCCTTCAGCAATAATCAATGCTGGATTTCGTGAAGATATCTTGTCAAATAAAAAAAATTTCCATACAATAACTGCTTTTTGTTCGGTCAGTTTGTATGACAGCTAAGTAAGTATATGCTATAGTGGTGCTATATCGGCGCGCTCACCACAAATCTTCTTATGGAGAAAAGGACGTGTGCAAAATTTCAGAACGATATCTCAAAAACTGAATGACTAGTTCGCGTATATACAGACAAACTTATAGACAGACGGAGATGACTAAATCGACTCAGCTCGACGCGCTAACCATTTGGATATATATATAGTATATATATACCTTATGGGGTCTACGACATTTCCCTTTCGAAGTTATAAACTTCGTAGTAAACTTAATATACCCTGTTGAGAGTAAATACATAATATCACTAAAAATAGTTGTCTTAACTACATATGTATATGTTACGATGTATGCAGCTTACATTTCATTAACACATATATGGCAGATAATGCGCCAGACAAAAAAAAACTTCTCAGCGCCTGCATTAACGAACGTTTTTTTTCACTTTGAAGTATTGTTTTCTCAATTCCATAGTCCAATAATTTCATTTCATGATATAAAAAGAAATTAAGTAAATAAATACTGTGCACACAAATTAAATTATATACATGCTTCTAATAATAATTTAAATATTAACTTATTTCGTATGAAGGTATTGTGTGCCCTAATTGTTCAATTGATTATAATTATCAACAGAGTTTTGGAATACAGTCGATTTGTCTGGATTGCCGCCACTTAATATAATTCAAAGATTGTATAAGTCAAACATGAATGATAAGGAATGAGGCTCCATTTACGAACACAGAAGGTCTCTTATTCATATTCAATACTAGAAGGAAACTCTGAGCTACACTTAATGTATACATATATATGACACGTTAATCGCTTTAAATAACTTTATTGATTTATTATCGGTGCTAAATAAATGATTATTATCAGTAAAATGTGTCCAAATGATAAATAAGTATATAAACAACACCCCTATAATTCTTAGTTTACTCACGTAAAATATAAAATTCAAAAGGTTTTAATTAATGATAAAAACTTACATAGCACAAGTGCAATGCAAATACAATGTAGATGTCGTATTGACAAATTTAAATAGAGAAACATTGTATATGTGATATGCATACAGATTAATTTGAATGAAATTTTACAACATTTAGTCGTTCCGACTCTGAGTAGTATGCACACAACAGCAGCATTCTCATCTGAAAACCTCTCATTTTATATCAAAGCTGAGAAGAGCACACAACAGCGAGTAGCTGACGAACCGTACTGCTTAACGAAGAAGTTTCTATGGGTGCGATAAGACCCAATTAAGCCACCATACATGTAAAACATGTAATTGGTCGGAAAAATATTCATTAGTATATGTTGTAGAATTCTGTAATCAAATAGCGCTAATCTGAAAGAGACTAAAATAAGTTAATTATGACTGAGGTATTTTATTATATGACTTAATATAATCTTCTCAAATACACTGAATGTTTTGAACTGTTAAATTCTAACGGATTTATTATAACGTGATATATGGAAAATCTGAGGCAAACAAATAAAAATTTGCAATATTTTATATCACATATAGTAAAGCAGAAAAAAAGATGTTATCATTTTATAATAGTAGATGATTTTCTTTTTTTTTTTGTTTGTTTCTGTTTATTTATTTCATTTAACATTTTCCGGTACCTCAAAGTCAATTCAATTATTTGCTAAATTACTCGCATTTATGAGAAACCATGGGTGGTCCTAAAAATGCAAAAACTTTACTCGTTCGAAAGCAGTTAAAGTTTCGGCTAGGACAGTTGAGTGCTCTCTCGATGCACTTGCTCTCACAAAGTAAATTATTTGAATGTAACTGATATAAACAATCACACTTATGTATCTGCCGGCAACTTCTCCAAAGGCACACAGGCATATACGAGTACCATATGCACATTCATACATATATATCTTGTCGACACTGGCTTAATGAGATTTATAGCGTGCAAGGTCTGAGACACATACTTTTGCGAAAAAGTGCGATAATATTAATTACAGATTATTGAAAACAAATATGCGAACAAATGTATATGCATGTAACGAATAATGATGTAATAACTTTAAGAAAATAATTAAGTGAGCTTATACTAAATAAATAATGAATTATTTGTAATAATAAGGTAATAATAGTGATTAGTTTAGATTAAAGTTGAAGAATGCACTTCAACATAAAATGATATTTAAACTTATAAATAGAAGCATTAAATGGGAAATTCGTTTAAAAATCGTTCTTCCTCTCTACCTATACCTCCCTCTCTAACTTTCACTCTATCTTATTAAATTTAAATTTAGTTATCTAGTCGTTAGTCTACACAAATCGCTCCAACAAGTTGGACTGTGCTAACATAATTCAAAGTATGAGTTCATTAATCGCATCAGAATACGACAAAGATGAACTAGTGCCGCCGGAATGGTTGAACTATGACTTCTTTGAGCGTGTCTTGCAATCCCAGAACAGCGGAGAAAATATTCAAATTACAAATATTGAAATTCAGCCCGCAACCAAAAAGGGGGAGCACTATGCCAGTGCGATGTTCCGAATTAAAGTGATGTTTACTTTGTCAGCCGACTGTGATGTAAAGTCATTTATTGTCAAAGCTCTACCGGAGTTGGAGGGCGAGAAACAGCGTTTGCTGGAAAACTCAAAGCTCTTCGAAACCGAAATCGGAGTTTATACCAACGTATTGCCCAGACTGGTGGAAGTGCTGCGATTGGCAGGCGAGTGCATACGATTTGGCGCGGAGTACGTATTCGCTTTTATAACAACATATGTTTGCAATTTTAGATACCTATTTATTTCACAGTTGCCTTTATCATGCTCTTACGCCATTCAAGTTATTGGTTTTTGACGATTTAAGACAGCTCGGCTACGATATCGTTCGCAATCGTGCGCTAACTTTGAGTGAAATAAAAGCAAGCTATCGCAAATTAGCCAAGTGGCATGCGGCAAGCTATAAATTGGCTAACGAGGTGAATACTTGAAATATTTTATTACTTGATGTGACAATATCATTACTCGGTCTTCGTTCACATTTGATAGCAACCCGAAATTTTTGAAACACTTTCCGAGAGTTTCATGACCCTACCGTATGTTGTCAATAGCTCATTCATATCTGGCGGTATCAAGAGCTTTATCGATATGCTCGATTCAGTGCCAACGTTAAAAATGTACAAACCATACTTCGAGGCCATGCAGCCAGACTGGGCTATTAAATGTCGTGCAACGTATACCGAGTATTTTTCTAATCGTCAAACACAAACCTGTTACGGCATCTGTCATGGAGATTTGCTCGCCAATAATTTGATGTTCCGACATGCACCTCTTACTGGCGTATTGGAGGATGTACTGCTCGTGGACTACCAGCTCACCTATATGGGTCCCTTAGTCAACGATCTCATATATTCGTATTTCATGCTCTATACGCCGCAGCAACGGGCCACAAATCATGAAGAACTTTTTGAGTATTATTTCAGACATTTTGTACAGACTTTGGAGTTACTTGGATGTCAAATGGAACTATTAACATTTGAGAGTTTCCATCAACAACTGAAGCGGCAGAAAATTTTGGGTAATTGACAAATATACGAGTAACTTATTACTTGCTTTCCGAAATAGCCATTAACACGACATTCGACTAATTAAACAAATAACACGATTTGCAAGACACTCAAACCAATTTATTGGAGTTAAAGTGCCAAACTACTCAACAACTTGACACATGTCTTTCACAAATGCATGCTTTTTTATTTTTCTGCTTTTTCACAAAATTTCTATTTTTATAAGATTTTTATTACTCTTTTATAATGTTCCAGCACTTTTTCTATTAATCAGCTTTCTACCCATACGCTATGCACTATGCGCTGGTCTAATAGACAGGGATCACTTGATGGCCACCGTGGAGGAACGTCGCGAGCTCTACTATGACAAAAATTACATCGCTGAGTTGCACACCATTCTACCAATGTATTTGCATTTAGGTTATTTACAATAGTAAATAAAAACAAAAGAATAATAAAAACAAATATTATAAATAAATTTTAAAAAAATGTTTAATTTCGGGAAACCCCTATTATATACGCGTCAGTGTATTATTCCTCAAAATAACCAAAATATAAGAGGCGTGGAAGCAATAAGCGCAGCTCATCCAAAATCTTCGTCTTCGCGAATAATGAAAGCCTTGCGGTCTCCGACTCGACAATTTCGTTCATGTCAAAGCCATCCATGAAGGCATAGTTGAGGCAAAGCAAAGTGCAAATCAGGTAAAGACCTATTTGGAAAATAAGATATAATATACATCGCTATAAACAGGCTTTATCTACCCCAATGTCTATAGTTGCACATCTCCGCCCTTATTTCCTTAATGGTTGGAATATGTCCTTGGTACTGCACACAATGTAGAGTGTCTTGAAAATGCTTTGTATAGTAATAAAGCAGTTCATCCATTTTCTCTAATCGCATGCTAGGGCTGAACATCATTGTAAAAGCATAATGTAAATCTATAGCCGGAGATCCAAAAATACAGGTTTGATAGTCGAGCTGAAAAGCAAACAAGAAATAAACCTCATACGAATGGATTTGAGCATGTGCAGAGTAGCCACAACAGTATATTTCAAGTTTTCAATTATAATGTTATATTAGCCCTCATTGTCATAAGTACATATAATAATAATACTGCATGGGCCACTCTTAATGAGAGAACACGTTCAATTAATAAATGATGTAGGTTATACAATATATAAAAATATATGTTTGTATAATTAAAGCTTATGATTGTCTCACCAGCATTAACTCTTTCAGCTCATTATCGACATATTTCACCATTAAATTTTTCCCATGAAAATCACCGTGATTCAATACTTGCACTCCACTACGTTTACCGTTTTTATACGCATTTAATAAGTCCAAAACCTTGGGAAATAAAAATTTTTCTGCCGCCTCGAAGTGTGGTAAATATTTTTGAAGATCTGGCTGATCACTAATCACTTCTTTCATTAGTTTCACCCCATCTCTTAAGATAGTAAAGTCATCTACATTCACCGTGTTGACGTAGGTCTTATTGAATGTGGTAATATCCCTATTTCCCTGTTAGTAAACGTGAAATTAAAGATATCTTATCAATAAGCACCTTTCGGCATGTTTTAATATTTGAGCTACACTCCGCTTTTATATGTAATACTTACCATTTGTGCCATTTGAAAGCTGATTGCATGTATTTTAGCTAATTTCTTTATAGCTAACTTGATTTCATCCAAACTACCGGAACGGTTATTGATGAGAGAATAACCTTCAGCCACAAGATCTTCGAATACTATGTTACGCGGCGCTTCCAAGCTGTAGTGGAAAATCCTAAAAATATTTAGTAGCAGAATTTTAAATGTATATATTATCTATTTTACTATTTTCATATTTTTAATAAATAATTTTTATAAAGATTTTATGAGTAATGGCTCATGCAACTCACTTCGGTGCCAATAGCGTCTGATCACCAAACTCGCGCAGCTTCGCTTCAATTGTCGGCAACACACTCGTATACATTCGCACTTCGGTTTCAAAAAGAGTCATTTCACTCAATTTATCCTTCTGCAGGCAGTTCGGTTCAAAATGCTCGGTTTTCATTACAAATGAACGAAATTTCTCTTGAGTAAGCTGGGAACACAAAGCATACTTTATCTTAGCACGATACAGTACAGTCGCGTAGTTATCAGTTTTGGCAGTGCCGGATGAGAGCAGCAATTTATAGATCTGCAATAATTGATAATTTATTTTTATATTTGATTTATTAAATTTGTTGAGCTCGTTGGCATTTATTGTATCACCTTCACACTTTCACTTTCGTCTTTATCGAGAATGCGCTTGAAGAACTCTTCGTTTATCCACTCTGGTGTGATTAAGGCATTTTCGCCACAAGACTCACTACCCGCATTAACCATGATTGCTTTAAAACTTTCGAATACCCCACATAGCCTGAATGCATCGCTTTTATAGTCACCAAGATAGTCGTAATAATCTCGCTTTGGAGAGAGCCGCTAAACGATTGAAAATATTACTCTGTTTACAATTGCAGCCGAATTTTAAAATTCGTTAGTATGTGTGTGTACATTTTACTAAACCTTGCAAAACATGCAACAAGTTCGGAATAGGCTCGCGATTAGTCTCAAAGGAACATGTGACTAATTGCATTTTTAATGTTTTTATATGGAACGAGCTGTTCTCTTTTGTTGCAGCGTGCGCTATGAAGACACTAGAAGTAACTTTCCGTCACCGAAAGACTACATTAAAATGCTAAAAATAAAAGAGGGTAATTTCTTGTACGAGTATGAGATAGCATTGAAGTGAACTATACTCGTACTCTAAATATATTCATTTGTAGCTAATTAATACGTAACTTAAGGCTATAGACATGTGTTGGAAACTAATTCATTACCAATTATATCCAATTGGGAGTAGTCCGGGCGTACTCTCTTTAAAGAGTACTCACACAATTTTTGCAGTGTTATATGGCAAGTATATTCGAATCACTGTCACGCGATATTTCACAGCTACGTTTGTATGTGCATAAGTTGTTTCACAATTAAGAATTTGCATAAAATATTAAAAGGGCAACACATACACACTTGTACACACAGCAATGTGTAAATACTTGTATTGTTAATATGCACTCCATTTCATTAAGTCTTATCGTAGTTTAACTAAATGCCTTGTTGAATACATAAATATACCTAAGTATATATGTATAGATCAAAGTGGGATCTAGCTAAGTTGCATCTTTGTATATTTACCATATGATACCCTAAAAAAGGTATTTAAGTATCTACAAGTATACCACGAAATTTGTAACACTCAGTAAGTCGGAAACCCGTCGTATATACGTATAAATGAACAGTAAAACGAGTTGAGTTGCATGTTGTCGAAATCGTCGATATCGGATCACTATAGCGTATAGCAGTCATACAAACTGTTCGATCCAAATCAAGTTCTGGTATAATAAACTTAACATTTTTATTTGGCAAGATAAATAGGAAATTTATTTAATTATAGTCCAAGCTAACGGTACAATCTCCCAACGTATTGTTCGGATCGGACCAATATATACCTTTAAATATCTCTTTATACACTTTTTTGCTAAAAGAAAACCACATGGGAAGTGTATCATAGCTTCGGTGCAGCGGAAGCTAACATTTTTTCTTGTTTATATAACACTACAAATCGTAACTGTGCAAGTAAATGAACTCAGTATATCTCTACCTAATAGCAAAAAAGAACTGCAAACAAGAATCGAAATGTAAATCATATACGTACACACATAAATGTTTTTCTAAATCAATATTCATGAAGTCAAAATTATTCTGTTTTGTCAGTGCAGTTTACTCTCCTTTCATCTTAAGCTGACCAATATACCTGTGCAACTGTATCTAAACCTCAACAAAGAATTGAGAAGAACAAAGAGCGAATATTGCCTACATCAAACAACACAATTAAAAAATGAATATTAGAAATTACAAGCATATGTTTGTTTTCAAAACTGTTTACTTCATTTTCCAACAATTACAAAGTTTGCATTCTCACGCTTTACATTTCCACTTCAATTCGCGGCAATAAAAATGTTCTTTCTCTTCGTCGGTTGTAATTGTTTAGCACTGTCGCTGTCTCCATATACCCTGCACCGTTCGCAGTTTGAGCGGTAACAACTTTCGTGTTACCTGCACTTGGCAAATAACAATATTTTAAATAAAACTGTAAGCAATAAAAACCAAAATTCATACATACAAGCGTATATAAACATATGTGAATAATAAAAACGGTATTGAAAGGTAAGAATTCCAACTAAAATGCCAAAACAACGCTGTTAGTTTGCTCTTCTAGGGGAAGCAATTAAATGGCCACCCACCGCGCACAACAACAGTAATATGTTGGGTTTACTTATATGGCAATCAGCATCCGCATCCGTGTTCCGTTCGATTGTTTATTAAACAAGTGGAATTGCCGGTATTGAACAGTGAACAGAAAATAAAAATAACAAAAACAAAATTTGTGGAAAAAAGACAGCAGGTAAAAAGTAGATAAAAAAGGAACTGAAAGAGGGCGTATTCGTGCCTAAACCCTAACTACGAACAGATTGAATAAAAACCAAATGTACACAGACACGTCACTGTAGTTGTAAAATGCACAGACAACAATGAAAATAAAGTGAAATTCAAATTTGTACACGAGCCCAATCAAAATCAAAATAAGGACTTACAGTGTATATACACTTGTAGTATATGGTCGAGTATGTGTGCGAGTTGTTAGTTAAAGTTTTCCCGTAAATTCCGTTAACTTTTTTATTTCTCTTATACAATATTTTTTTAGTTTATTTATTAGGAATGTGTTCGATGCAATTGCAATTTCCGCACCACCCATACTCTGGTTTTATAGTGTTCAGACTGCATGTTGGCGGTGCAAGCGGCCATATTTTTGCATATTTCCCTTTCCCAAGCGCTAGCTACAAAAAACATTTTGTGTTAAAAAATGAATTTATATTGGCAACTCGAAATTTCCACTGGTTCAGTTTGTAATATTTACTTTTAATTAAACGGAAAAAAAGTCCGTAAATATTGAATATTTTAAGGCTTTATCCATAAGTGCGAAATATTATGCCCACTCAGGCTAGGCCTTTGCACCAATCAGTGCCTCGGCACTTTTTGTAGCACAACATTCCAAATGTGTCCATAGTAGAAGAGAAGATTAGCTAAATTAACAAGCATGTGTATGTCGTTCTCAACTGAAACCAGCTTTTCCCTTTCACATTTTTAATTAAAACAACAACTTTGATTTGACCATTAATTTGATACTCTTTTTATCATGTCACTTACGCCTGAGTCCGGTTTATCTACCTCCAATTATTTTAATCTACCTTATCGATATTGACAACCAGTGCAGCAGTTGGTCCATCAATTGGGTCTACCACTGCTGTCACGAATATATTTAATTAGCAAACGTAAATGAAAGAATTTTTAATTTGTATTTGTAGATATATAAGATATTTTACGTTGCTTCGCTATAAATTGTGATTTTAGTGTTTCAGAGAAATATTCAAATAGCGTTGAGGCCAAACGAATTCTGGTGGAAGAAAGGTACAAGTACTTTTTGCTAGACCGGAAAAGCCTTTTAAAATACTCTGTCCAAGAAACTATTAAAAAAATATAAAATGGATAATAATATATTTTACATGCATTTTTTGTTTCAGAAATAATTTTTATGCAGTCTTGAATCATACGACCAAGCATTATCATAATGGACAGTAATTGCCCCGAGTCTACTTGCAAATTCCGGGCATTTTTCGGCAATCGCTCGCTTCAATTGGATGAGTTGTCGTTGGTATTGTTCTCAATTAATTGTTCCAGACGGTTTTAGAAGCTCATAACACAGCCTACTTTTCTGATCCCACCATGGCGTCATGCATATTCGGCTTTGCCGCTGATTTGGCTGCTTGGCCAAATTTCATAAATGATTAAAGAAGTGTTGTTTACGCTTCCAATGAATGATATACACTGAAAGAGACGCGCAAGGACAATAGCTTTCCAAAGCATGTTCGAAATATTGTAACAATGGAATAATAATCAAGTTACGCCAATGCCATAGTTATGGACCCAATCGATCGATATCATCTTAAAATCATCAAAATGAGGACTCTCATAAATTGTATATTTTACACTAAACACTCGTTTATTGATCAACACTCCTTCTCACATCTCCAAATTTTTCATAGTATAAGTAATATTAAAATAATTATTAGACGGTTTCTACAGTATTTCTTAGACAGGCAATTAATTATTTTCACATTAAGAGAGCATTTGTACATTTATTACACTTTACTCTGTTATACAAATATATAATAGTTACAAGAAATGAATGAAGCTTTATAAATACTACTTATTTATCATATTATATTTGCTTATTTCGAAACATTTATTAAAAGATAGATGAGTGCAACTTGCCCTCTTGCTTTTCTCTACTCATATATACTCGCCTGATTGATCGTGAACACAAAGAGAGTAATACGTTCGCAACCATACAAGCTAATAAAAATTCTTTACACCCATTGAAGAGCTATGTTCCCCCTGCACGACACGATTGCAATAATCATTAATTTGATAAGGCATTGCAATAACAGCTATTTAATTTAGATAACTCAACTATAAAATGTAAAGCAATTTAAGCGAAAGTCACATTGCATCTTTTCTTCGCCTAAAGTGTGAACGTACACTAACGAAACACGGCATATAGAAAATTTTCATTTCAGAAACTGTATTAAAATGGCAAATAACGAGAAAAGTGAGGATCATCTCAATATCCCGGAATGGTTGAATGAGTCATTCTTCAAAAATATTCTAAAACAAGTTGAAGCAGAAAACACGACGGTGTGTGTCCAGTAATTACTATTAAAATTTAATATTGCTGACATTGCTTGCTTTAGGTGACCAATTTAGAGCTGAAACCGGGAACATTGAAAAACGATAACTACGCCAGTATTTTGTACCGAGCTAAAGTCAACTACAGGTTGCAGTCGCAGCCAAATCAGGAGAAGATCTCCTCGTTCATATTAAAAGTCAAACCTTTCGTGGAAGGCTTCAAGAAGGATATGCTAGGCAATTTGAGTTTATTCCAAACTGAAATACTCATGTATGCTAAAGTGTTGCCAAATATCGAGAAGGTGCTGAGGCAATATGGCGACCAGACCATTTTGGCACCAAGGTGAGTAACCAGTCGAACAACAAACAAAAATGCAAAAAAGTGAAAATTTTTAATGAATTATGAAAAAAGCCTTATCGACTACAGCAGTTCCACACCGACATATTTGGTTTTTGAAGATTTAACGCTCCAAGGTTACACCACAATTGGATCACGGCATATCGATTTGGATGAAGGGAAAATTGCGCTACTCAAACTAGCGAAACTGCATGCGATCAGCTACAAATTGTACAAAGAGGAGGTATGAAAATTATAAAAATCGATATTATTTTGCACTAATACACTAATTCGCAATATTTTAGGAAGATGCGGTCATGACTTCTTTGGATAAAGGCTCAATGAATTCTGTTGACCCTGAAAATTTTCCATTTGTTAAGCATGGCATTAGATTGCTCAAGGAAGTGCTAAGCGAACACGATGACCTAAAACAATTTGTGTTACACATTGAGTCAGTCGAACATTTACTACTGCCAAAGTCTCTCGAGTTGTTTAACCAGGCCAGTAGTGGTAAACGAGATGGCATTTTAGTGGTCAACCATGGTGATTTTCATTTGAAGAATATGATGATCCAAAATGTTAATGGCAAACTGACTGATCTTATGCTGGTGAGCAACATAGCTCAACATTTCTGCGCAAAACTTAATTTTTTTTGCTATTTTCTCACTTCTTTGCATAGCTTGATTATCAGATAAGCATATTTGGGTCGCCGGCGATTGATCTGCATTATGCGTTCACTATGATGTTTAGCCCCGAAATGCGGCGTGATCACTACGATGAGCTTCTTAATTTTTATATCACCAATTTTCAGGAGACACTGCTCAAAACAGAATACAAAGGTCATATACCAGCGGATATGGAAATTCGACATGAATTGAAACAGCATAAATATTGGGGTTAGTACAAATCGAATAAACAAAAGCAGTTAGTTGTTAAACTTTGACAGAACCACGTACGTCGTTTTAACTATTATTTTATTATTATAAATTTTTTCTGCTGCAACACAAAGGCCAAGGCTTTAGTTTTTATATTTAACTTTTGAAGATATTGACAACCAAATATTTTATTTTTTATTTAAACAGAACTGTTTTTATTCCTAACTTTCCTGACAATCAACTATGCATTGGCTGATGCGGATGCAGACCTTGCAGGGGTGATCGAAAATCCGGTGGTACAAAAAAAAGCATTAGAAAACCCAAAACTACTGGAGGAGTTACGAGAGCTGTTGCCGAGATTTCTACAAAATGGTTATTTCGAATTATAGTAATGCATAAAATGATAATACTCTTAAAAATTATTATTGCTATATTGTGTGCCATTATTAATCATTGCTCTTGTGTACTTTTACATAAAAAATTACAATATTGGTATAATGCCAATAATTATTTGAAAAACGTATTCAAATATTTATGGAATTTTAGCACTGTATGAATATTTTTGTATATTACTGTATGCATGTGTTGTATGTGTGGTAAAGCAACTTCTAGTATAGGTAGACTGCCGATTGAAAATGCGCGAAATATAAGGAAAAAAGATTTTGTGAAGCATTAAGCATGAAATTTAGTGCATGATAAAGCTGTCCGCGCGATTTCTGCTATGTTTTTACACTTAGGACAAGCATCGCAACTGTGTGCAATACGAAGACGTTACTGCGTGTTTTCTTGACACTAAACGAAACATGGATCCACCAAAACCACCATCTGGTTTGCACCAGAGACTTACAAACAGTCGAAAGAATGGACTTCACCCGGCGAACCTGATCCGAAGAAGACGAACACTGTCCTCTGAACTAACAAGTTCATGACCGCTACCAGCGTCTACCTGGTAAAGGGCAAAACGGCCACAGGGCTCTACTATGCCGAATAATTGGGCCGACGACGTTGAATTACAGAAAAAACGGAATCGTTGGTGGAAGAAAATGCTCTCCCACTAATGAGAATGCAATGCTTCACACCTTTTACTTTGCCAAATTCGTCCAATTATTTCTGAACAATTGCAGCTCAGACGAAAATGCGTTATTGGTATATTGTTTTTAATAGAATGCATTCAGAATATTTATCAGTTGCACATTCGTAGATGCCTCGCATTAAATTACTCAAATATACATGCATATCTACGTTTGGAAAATGCTACAAAATTCCGAATATTTTGAAATTCACTGGTAATTGAATCATGATAAAATTTTCATTCCTATGGATTTCACCAAAACGAGTAAACAGTACAAACACGAATAAATGCGCCGCGTTTTTATTCACAGACTTGAGACATTTAAGGCTGAATTTAGTTTGACATTTTATGTAAAAAAAGAATAGTCCATTTAGCAGAGCGAAAAAAAAAATTTTTACGCCATTGTAGATATTTTCATCTCAACTCAGCAAAAAGAAGAAAGTTGCTTTTTTCTGCTATTGTACGCAGAAAATATCTGCATTTCTTATTATTTTTTTGCAAATAAATCATTAATATGGCAGGAAAGAGATTACAATTTAGTAAGACGATAACATATTACAATCCGCCATTAACATATAGCGCTCAGATACAAACCAGCGTTATGCCGGGGATACCTGCTCTGTCATCTCAAATCTAGTCCGAACTTATGGTATATAATCAATATGAATATTGATAGGAAAAAAACTCTTCCAACGCTCTCGTCCTACGATAATTCCACAAGATATTTTTGAAAAATCAGTACATTCAACGCCTAAAAGATACTCAGCTTAGGTCCATGCCTATGTCAGTGCTGTAGTTTGGTGCATTGATCGTTTCGACTACTGTAAATTGTTCTAGAAAAAAATGTTTCTTCCTAAAAATATTTAAACCAAAGCAAAGCAGGACTTTGGGGCGGCGTTTCCGGAACGTGCTGGCAATTATAAAGCAACTAAAGACGCACTTTAAACCCTTGTGTTTTGGATCGTTGGCTTGGTAGAAATGCCAATCATCACCGAGATCCAATTTTTTAAGATCTTTTGGTAAATTAACTCTTAAACTGTGAAGATAATAATAATAATCATTTAGTTTTACTAAAGTTAATCGGTCAGCAAATATAACGCAAAGATATGGCACAAATATTGTGGCTTAGAGCAGAAAATTGCAATCGAATGTCCCATTACGGCTGCGCTTATTACTTCTAATATACAATATTAAATCAGATTACGATGAACATTTAAATACTTTCTTTTTCATTTTCCCACTAACAGACTATTGCTGATCTCTCGGCTTAAAAATATTGCTCGCAAAAGAATCCAATTTGAATACGAAAATCATTTCTCTGGCAAACTCTCTCCTGTCCTCCACACTCTTCGCCTTCGCTGTTTACTATTCGCGACTAAGCGCATTTTACGATTTCAATATGCAAAATCAAATCTGATTATCAGTTAGATATTCGATAGCTGTTAACGAAAAACTGCGAGGGTTGAAGTGAAACAAACAACTGACCGCCAAAGCGATGACAGCGGAGCAACAGCGCAAAATGATGAAGCGTGTCAACATGACAGCGCGAGTACCACATCACCGACCTATACCCCGAAACCCCTTTTAAGCAAGTCACGTTTTCCTCCGCGTCACAACTCATCTCTACCATTCAGCACAACAGCATGATGCAACAACAACAAAGATAAGTTTATCAGCAACATGAAAGCCATTTAGATCGGACTGACTGTACCAAATTAAATTAAATTAGAATCGGGTATTTGCAGCGCTGATTTCGCTCGAATCTGCAGCGTGTCGAGTGTTGAATGTGAATTCAGCTTGCATCGATTTGAAGCGATTTGGAAGGACAAAAGAATTTAAATTCATAGGAAAAGCGATTTTGTGTATTTTGAATTTGTATGCAATTTGCAAGTGTGGCAAATTAAGCAGTATCGCCAGCACTGACAACACTGCCGAGTAGCGATAACTAAATGCAGCTGATAAATGGCATTTTGGGCGCTGGCTTATTGAGAACTTGTCGAGCATGCCGCAATCGAAATCAGCACGCGCCACAATCATCAATATCACTGAGAATTGGCTGTTCTCTGCAGTGCGTTGCTTCACATTTTAAGCTGATATCGCTGGTATGAAGTCATAGGAGCCTGCCCCTCGTATTTCCTGCCGTTTACATATAATATTTGCACGCTCTCTCGCGTATTGATTACGCCATTTAACGGAGGCGCAAGCTATGGGACGAGAGACGACAGTGCTTGCTGTCGGCCGACTGTGCTGCTCAGATGACAGTTAATGTTGGCAATCGCGTGAAGCGCATTTAAATAAGGATGACAAAAAGTGGAAATTTTGACTTTTAATTGCGTAAATTTTCAATTCGAAAATGGCTGCATCTCGTCCCGCCCCGCATTTGATGGTATAATAGCAGCTACGTGCAATCAAATTAAAATAATATCACATCGAAATAGAATTCGGATTGGTTTGCTGGTTACAGCGTCCTATTTGAGCTTTTGACGTTTGTGTCGCTGGGCGCAAATTACTGGCAGTGAATTTCATAAAATTACAAATGTGGCGACTTTCACGCAACGCTTTAATGCATGGCTTGCAACACTCAAATGTATGTATGTAGGTTGACGTGGCCGTAAGCTCATTGACATGAAATTTCAGAAACGATGTGTACGAATTAATTTGGAAAATAATTTTTTTTTAAGAGACAAGTTTACTTGCAATGTAATGAACACCACTTTTCCATTAGCGTCGTAATAAATATGTGCAATTTTAATTTGTGACTAGTTAACGTTCAGCTAAAAAGTGAATACACCCAATAAAATTCAATCTAATTAAGGGGTTATGTCCTCCTGTGAATTTCAAAAATCAATTTTTGCGTACATGTATAGTACCATTTGATATTGATCCGTTTTTGTAAGAATTCTTAACTTAGTGTAATCGGCTACAAAACTTGTCGAGAAAGAACTTCCTCTGAAATGGCTGGAGCGATCAACTAGAAATTTTCCTGCGACCTTCTTAGATATGATACAATGATCGAAGCAATACAATTTTCGATAATACTTTTTTTCGGGAAGTTGCCATTTTGTCATACATTAAAATTTTTACTAGTCCTTCGATCTTTACCTTTATTTACTCATAGTTATACTACATTTTTGTGGTTTCTGCATTTGAGACAATTTTAAGCCAAAAATCTTTTTCGCCGCCAGACACTTTTTTCTCCTAGAAATCGGCTACTTCAAAATTTTTAATTTTAGTAATCGACCAGATTATATTTATATAAGCGAAAGAAATATAATGGAAAAAGCCGGTAAATTTTAGTTCATTGCTTGTCATAAGCTTTGAATACTTACATCAGAATATGTAAATAATTTACTATTCTCTGCGTTAAATTGCTGCGCCACTACTGTAGTCACTATGACACTCTGTGTTGTGTTGTGATATTTGGTAGAATCAGGGCTCATTTACCAGCTAAATTATTCCGGCTTATTTGCTTTAAAAAATGTCCGTCAGATGTCGCCTACAACAGTCCAAGCAGAGAATGTTAATAAATCACTAAGTGCCGGTTCACACATGAACGCTTTTTGTCGCTCAAACCGGTGTTTGTAAGTAAGGGGCGATGAGCAAAGACAAAGGGACTGTACCGCTTGTGTTCTTGAATGTGATAGAACAATATTTAGAATACCCGCTATTAATATTTTCAAGACCAAATTTATGACGGGAATTTCCCAATCTATCGGGAAGCACGGACCCTTATTTTTTTTAAGTCATATATCAATCATACATAATAATAATCAATCAATCAGTAGTAAAAATAAATATATATAAACGCATCTTAATATTTTTATGAATATATAAAAAAGTAAAAGTAACTATATTTTCACTAAAATTGATTTATATACATTATTACGTTTAATGTTGCTAAATGTTACAAAATATTTAAATAAAATATTTGTGAGTTTCATATTTTTATTCTTATACACCATTTTCGAAAATATTGCTTTTATACCACAAATTAATCACAAAATACAAATTTTTAAACGAATCCAAGAAAAATGAAAAGGAATGTAGAAATGTAGAAATGTGTAGCAGCGAGCTGTTACGAATAACAGACAAAGAACCTGTTGGGCGACAAAGGATTCCGTGTGTGAACTGGCACTAACGAAGCACAATTACCAGAAGGTAGGAGAGCATCTTCAAAAGTTTTTGACCTTTACGTATTTTGTTTTTGCTCCATTCTTTGCCGACGGGAGCGTACTCAACGCACAATTCAGCGTTACTACTACTACACTACAATTACTTTGTAGTAGACACGTGAGCCGCTCTCTTAATTCGATTTGGGTGGTGCCTAACGACTCGCCACTTTTCATTTATTTCGCTTACCATACATTTTTAAATAACACATAACACAGACATAGCGAACAAAACAAACCAAGCAAGAAAGGCAAAAGGCAATAACAACGAGACAGTACAAGAATGCG